ATGGCAAAAATACTGATATTTTATATTTTTTTGTGGTTTTTCGGTCGTAATTTTGTCAAATCAAGGTTCACAGCTAAAAGAATTATTGTTTTAAGCAGCTTCCCATCACTTTCTGGGAAATTTATTTTTTGATCAATTTTCGCTTTTTTGATAAGGGTTACATCATGTTTTTTTGCAAAAAAATTACAAAATTCAAAGATTTCTAGGTTTGAATGCAAATCGACTGGGAATTTAATTACGAGCTTATGACACTTCAAATTTCGACCATTTTTTGCATAGTTTTGACCAAAAAAAATTCATTTTTAGTGCGTAAAATAAGGATTACAACTTTGGACAATATTTTATATTTTTATTTAGTTTAATAAATATTACACATGAATTTCGAAACTTCATCTTTTCTGCTTGAAACCAGTTTTAAAATGTTCTGTACTGTACTTCCGTTTCGCAATTATTTCTTGGACTTTTGGACTTGTCGTGGTCAAGGACTCGCGAGCACCTGGTGATTTTGGGCCAAATGTCCCTGGGCAAATCCAGGATCCAGCTGCGATGGCATCAGGTGATCGGATCGGTGATTGTCGAAATTAGAGCCTAAGTAGTCTCGCCCATTTGCGGAACACATGTGGATCGATCGGCGGTGGATAACCAGTGTTTCCAGTGTTTCCCCCGGCTCAGTGCGTCGAAAATTCCCACAGGATGCGGAAATACCGTATAGAGAGTATAGGATAGTACGTACACATCGGTGGGCCTTTCCGAGCGCCCCGAGATTTTTTGGAACGCGACTTAACTTGACCCTGTAGCGGGATCAACAAGTGCGTATCGCTGCAATCATCATCATCTCGTCCTCAGGAGGTAAGTGCGTATATATATAATATAATATTCCTTCTTAGATATGTATGTATATATCCTATCTACCTGCCCGATCTGGGCCTCAGCACGCGGTACGGTTTATGGCTTTATGGCCATGGCCAAGGAGTTGCCGGCGATACACGGAAAATGCGTTTCGTAAACAAAATGCGGCCTCCATTCGCGTTTCCACTTTCACATTTTCATTTTCGCATCCCTCCTCCTATTTTCACTCCCTCCTTTTTCCGTTCATGATTTTTTGTGTTTTTTCTTGTCACATAGAAACCAAACAAAAAAACGAAGGGAAAACAGAATATGGTAAACAGAAATTGCATTGATGCTCCTGATCTCCCAGATGTCCTGCGACCGCGAGAGTCCTGGAAACGGTCATGTCCTTGCCATTGTTTTTGGTTTTCGGTCCTCATCCTTCGCTTTTTTGTTGGTTGTTTTTCCTCCCCGGCCAGCTGGCTCAATAAAAAAGAATATATATCCCAGCCAGAATCCAAGACAATTGCTTGGCTTGCACTTGTGCCAAAAAGTTGCATTCGACTTCGTTGGCTACGCCGCAAAAAATCGGGGCCAAGTTGCATTTAAAAATCATTTTCTATATATTAATAATAATAATATTGAATGAGAATTAAATAATTACTTATGATTAATAACAAAATAATAAGGGGGATTTCAAAACAAATTTGTTGTTGCATACTTTCTGAATACCACACGTACTTTTAAATTTTTAACCGAGTGACGGCAGTATTTATCCCTCCAATCATTCATATTTAAGTAAAGCAGAAATATCTTCCTAAATTGTATTCTTAAATTGTTGTTTTATAATAAATTATCTTTCTCTGCAATTCTCTTATTTTACTTTATTTTATTTTAGTTTCGGTTCCAGTTCCATTGCAACGATTTGGGGTCCCGGGCACGTCTCCTACTTTTCCCCCTAGTTTCGAGCTTTCCCCTCCCAAAACCTTTGTGTCAATGGCATTTCAATTTCGTGGCCATTTCCTTGGGGCTTCGTGCGGAATCCTCTGCATCCCCAGATCCAGTCAGTCAGTCAGTTCGCTTTTAATGGCAAGTCAACTGGACTCAACCGAATTGTTGGACTGGCTTGATTTCGATTTCCATCCACAAAGTTGCGAATTTCGATTGCTCCTTTGGCGCAAATAAGGTTTGCACACTGCATACTCAATTGATGCACTTGTCCAGAGTCCAGAATCCCAGAGGATTTTGCTTGATTGTTATTTAAATGCAGTTTGCGAAAGTTTTGGCCAATTTGCGTTAGCGTTAACTATCCTCAAGTTTTCGTAATTAATTAAGGTGAAATGTGCAAGTTTCAGTGAGTATTTCACATGTGATTGCCCCAAGGAGGTGGTGTAAGAAAGCACATTAAGCTGAAAGTTTATAAAGTACAAATGTACATATTTACACAAGCACAAGTACAGGTGGATTCAAAATATTAGTCCTTACAATTTTCACAAATATTTGACGCACTTAAAAAAGTGGAAGTTTTACAATTATTTAATTAATTTAATTATAGATTTAAGACAAACATTAAAAGATAGAAAAAATTTTATTTATTTATTTTTATTGTGTAATATTATTAATTTTTTGTTTATGTTAAACCACTTGGTTGCTATTACTTTAAGCACATTTGTTAAAGTTCCAAAGTCGTTACAGCACTTAAAGTTGAGTTGGCTACTTGAGTAAATTTCGTATGCAAGCCAATGGGTGAATCGTGAGTTAGCTTTGCATCTTACTTGGCCAAATTGTCAAGGGTCATTCCTCATACGTGCTATTTCCCCATTTGGAATTTCCCTCTATCAGACTGCCACTCGAATCGAAGGCTATATAGTGTACATATAGCCTCCGCCTTCTCTTGAACCTGTTCTATGGTTTCACTAGCAACTCCTTTGGATGCCATTTGCACAAATTCAACTGAATCGAAGCTAAGAACAATCCGCATGCCCCACACAGAGAGAAAAATCAAGTCATAATTCCAGGAATACTTTCGAAAAAAAATACAAAAAACGTAGTTTTTAATTAATTATTTAATTTAATAGCAATACATTCTTACTAATAACACTCGAATTAAATCTAAATAAACCTACATTAAATCTTAAAATTGTACATAAATTCTTCTGTTAAATAAAATCTATTGGTTGCTTTTAAATTTAAAGACTTTTAAGGTCTCGAGGTCACTCATGGAATGGAGCTCATCGACTTCCGTTTCCGCATCCAACATGGAGACTTCCCAAAATGGAGACCCGTCACGTGCAGCCAACAAATGCCGGAGTTACGTGACTGCCAAGCGGATGTGGATGCGGATGTCGATGTGGATGCGAATGTGGATGCGGATGAGGATGTGGATGCAGATTTCGATGCAGATACGGATCAAAATTCGCTAAGCAAATGCGAGAGGGAGAAAGAGAGAGCGGGAAACTCCGTGAAGGAAAATATATTAGAAAGGCGTGGAAATTCCGCTAAGCGTTTTCCCAGCCGAAAAATGCGGGAATTTCAAAGATTGCGTGTGAAAATGCAACAAGAAACCAAAACGGCAAACACCAAATGTGCGATAGTCAAATGAGGCCTGAGGTTGGCCAGTTGTTTGGTTGTTCAGTTGACCAGGAACAAAAGCCAAGTTAGTTCCCCGTAAGGCCAAAGAGGAGAACCCGTAGGTTGTTAAAATTGACATGGGTATTCGAACTCGGGACCCCAAACGAGGCGACGATTATCACGTGCCACTGCAGTTGCAAAGGCAAGGGCATTCCTATGGATTTCATATAATATAGGGGCACGAGCCCAAAGAACCCATAGATCTTAAGGGTTCGGGGTTCGGGATTGAGGATGTTGGGTAACTGGGTGGGTTTTGGACCTGCCCAGCTGTATTTTACATAATATTTGATAACTAAACTATCATCTGATTAAATACAAATTAATAAAAAATGTAAGAAAGAAAACAATTTCTTAACTAGTTTTTAGCTGAAAAAAATATAAAATTAGTTAGCTTATAGAAAGTTTGGTAATCTTAAAGAATGATTTCAAGTGAAGTAGATTTTTATAAAAACTAATAATATTTTTAAATGTTTTTCGAGGCCTTAAAAATATTCAATAATCTAAATTTAAGGTGATTTTTAGCAATTAATAGACAGATGCACTTGTCACAGTCAATCCAGTCCGATTTGTGACCCATTTTTATTTCCATTTCCATTCGCCATTGCCATTCATTGGCCATCATTTCATTGAGCGCAAATCAAGCGCGAAATCATTTTGCCAATTTTCATTTAACCATTTTCCCAATGTCGTTTTTCATTTGCCCAACGATGACGATGGCCTATTTCGATTTCATTTGGCCTTGGGCTATATAGCTATAGAACTAAAGAGCCATAGAGTCCAAGAATGGGAGAGCTGTTCCATTGAGGAGTTTTCCCTCGAAATAGATCGAAGTCGGTGCAGCTGGTTTCCAGTTTCTAGTTTCTAATTTCTGGCTTTTGATTTGGCCAGAAAAAGGTCCTTTCCCGCTGATTCGAGTCTTGCGGCCGGCGTCAACGGCGTTCCGAGGACTGCGCCACGGCGTTTGCACAACAATCGCAAGTCCCTCTCGCAAGGAAGGACCAAGGATCTCTGGCCCAAAAGACAATGGACCAAGGACACCGGCGACCGAAATGACTGACATTGATGGTCAGAACATCAGTCATATATCATCGCATATCTGCGGCCATCTCTCTACAAAAAGGGTTAGGAGCCTAGGAAAATATTAAAAATATTACAAGGCATATTATATATAGGAAAGGTCTGCTTAACTCGTTGGCCAACGATCGAAAGTACTCGAATCAAGGTCGAGGATTTTTCGGCAGGATTTTCAGTTTTTCGGATTTTCATATTTCAAATTTCAGGTACTCCCCGGCGGGGCCATAAAGTATCGCGTATTTTTCACGAAATCCCGTTCGCGGATTAGGCCAGAAACTAAATGTACGTGAAATCAGGTAGTCAGACTGGCCAACACTAGGTAATTCCTGGAACTCAAACCAAAGCTACCTGCTCGTCATATATAAACCCGGCGGGTTTATGGCCAAGCCCAACAGTCGACAAGGAATTGTCAAGCGAATAACATCTAACCAAGAGAGTTACCTAAAAATATTATAATATTAATAATAATGGGTTGTTGTGCGAGCAGTTTGAAACTCAAGGAGCTGAATCTCAACAGCAGCATCTACTTGGCAGCTGGAGGAAGTGGAAGTCGCTCTCAAAAGCGGTTATATAGCAGCCGGAACAGCAGTGGAGTGGGCAGCAGCTCCTCGTCATCCTCAACCTCATCATCTTCGAACTCAAATCGCAGCATTTGGAGCCGATCCAGCCAACCGATTTGCGATGACTTTGCCGAGCAGCCTGCGGCTCAACTGGAGCGATCCTGCGGCTATCACACCTGCAGCAGTGCCAATTCCTCACCCAGAAAGAGTCACCAGGAGGAGGAGGAAGAGGAGGAGGTACTGATGCGCACCCAGGACATGAGCGACTCCAACTCCAATTCGAACTCCTTGCCATCGCAAGGAAACCTCGAGTGGGAAATGTACATGATGCAGCAGGCCCAGCGCATCATGCCCAAGACCTCGTCTCCAATTAGCCAAAGGAGGGGCATGGCTCACCTACCCCCTCCATCATCCTATCAAAAGTGGAGAAACTACCTCCAATCCACGCCCGCTCACATGCTGCACAATGTCACCCACATACCAGAGGCCATTGCCGGCCACTTTTGCCCCACCGGCTTTCCGGGCTTCAGCGATCTGGAGGAAATGGAGAGTGCGGCCAAGCGATACAAGGTGGATCAGGATATGGATCGGGATATGGAGGAGAATGAACCGCTGTACACCACCTACCAACTGCTGGCCGGCCACACGCACACCATATCCACAGATCTATAAGTTAGAATCTAACCCTATATCGCACCATCTCCGCGTGGTTCGGAGTGGTCCTGCGATTGGTATGGGTTATTCCCGAGTAATCCCCGGCGAGGTCTGGCAACAGGTGTGCCAGCTGTCAAACAGTTGGACAAAAATCAACAAATCAGCGATTCCATTGCCCAGCAATGGCCATCGTTTCTATACGATTTTACAAAAATTAATTCTTTTTTTTTAAACTGTATATCATACAAAAACCAGACTTAAGGACATGTACAACGTTGGATAATCAAATTGTACTTGAAAATATATGTATTTCATAAACTTATAAAACAAAACTATTGACTTTTCAATTTTAAAGATTAGCTGCGGGTAAAAGGTTGTCGTGGGTTGTGTTTTTAAATCATAAACAAGTCAATTGAAGGCGCACAGCCAAAAGACTAACTGCTTTAAGCAGCTAATAACCTAATCTAACAATTCCCATCACTTTCGGGAAAACTAAAATGTTCACCAATTTTCACATTTTTGATAAGGGGTAAGATCATAATTTTTTGTAGAAAATTACAAAATTTAACAATTTTTAGGTTTAAATGCAAATTGACTGGGAATTTAATTACGAGCTCAGCGAGGTATTACACTCCAAATTTGGATCAATATTTCCATTGTTACAGCAAAAATAGTGATATTTTAGGGTGAGTAATATGGATTCGAATTTTTGACGAAAATAATACCTTTATTGCGGTTTTTCGGTCGTAATTTGGACAAATCAAGTCCGATAGTTAAAAGACCGACTATTTTCAACAGCTAACGACCTAAACAAACGATCCCCATCACTTTCGGGAAAATTTATTTTTTGATCAATTTTCGCATTTTTGATAAGGGGTTACATCATAATTTTTTGCGAAAAATTACAAAATTTAAAAATTTAAAGGTTTGAATGCAAATCGATTGGGAATTTAATTACGAGCTCAGCGAGGTATTACACTCCATATTTCGACCATTTTTTGCCTTGTTTTGACCAAAAAGGTGAATTTTTAGGGCGGAAAATAAGGAATAAAACTTTGCACAAAATTTCCTTCAAGCTTTAAACTCGGAAAATGCTCCCTTCCCCATAAATCATATTTTTTGACATATTCAGCCCAGCCCCATTAACTGATTGCCGGCCACAAAATGTTTTAATTGGGCTTTGGCAATCCGAAATTCAACCGAACAGCCGCCGCAAACCGCACAAAATGGCGAAAAGCTGGAAAAGTTCGGGGCTCATTCCATATTCAAATCGGCGGAAAGAATTAGTAGCATGCTGCGCGTAATTACGCGGATAAATGTGCATTAATTAGTGGAGACCAATCGAAATGGAAATATTGAATGCAAATATTGAAAGCAAAGCCAGCGATAGGCAAATATGGATTATGGATTGTGGCTTTGGGAATATATTATTTTTAATCTAATTAAAATTAACTGCTTTACTGGAATAAATCTAGCTTTGAATATTTGTGCAGGAAATTAAAGAGCTATTTTTTCTACCGCCAGCCGATAGCCCCTCCCCATTTACAGGGTATCGGTTGGCAGTATCGATTTTAGTGGCTTGTCAAGTGTCCGGGTGCCCACTTAAGTATCCCCGTTTTCCTCCTCGCACCTGAAGTCCTCGCATTTCCCGCACATTTTTCCCGCTCCTTTGGACTCCTTGACAAAAAGAGAGAGACGACAACAGGGCGAAAAAAGCGAACGAAAGAGACAGACGGTTGGGGGTTACCCAAGTAGTTTAGCTTGCATCGGTGAGTTGCCATAATTGGTGCGGACGCTCAATTGTTCCCGCAATCAGTCAGTCAATCATTCAATCAATCAATGACTTTGGCCACTGTGCACTATAATTTCAGCCAGCCGAAAGAGAGGGGTATATGGAGGGGGAGAAAGAGAAGGACAGAGGTGTTGCACCTAATTGTGGGGTGAAAAAGGAGGGCCAACAGAGTGCAAGTGCCATGTTGATTATTGCGAAACTTTTTCTCCCTTTTCTCACACTCCTGGAAAACTTTTCAACATACGTGGAAAATGCTGCGCGAAAAACTGTGTGCACAGCGAAAATAAAGGGGCATTAAAGCCAGTGTTGAAGTGTCGGAATTTTTTCTTTTCCCTAATTTAGTGCAAGCCAACTTTTGCGCCGTCTGACTTTCATGAGCTGCACATAAAAATGATGTAGAATAATTAAGTTTTCCGTTCGGCCTGTTGGCCTCTTGGCTGCCTTTTTTTGCCATAAAGAACAAGTGGAGAGAAAAAACCCTGCCCCAGGGACCCTCTTTCGCCCATCTGGCGGAATAATAAATAGTAAATGGCGCTATTTTATAGGGAATTTATGCGCAAGGAAACGGCAAAGAAATCAAATAAAGATGAGAGCGGCTATTCTATTGTGTGGAAAATTGAAAAAGCTGGTTAATATATTTTTTGTTAGCCAAGATATGAATTATCTTGTAAAAAGAGAAGGGAGTAAGGTGATAAAACTTAAAAAGTGTCATACAATTTATCAAATTTATAAAGGTGTAAAAATACAATGTCATCTTGCTTTTTATTCTTTTTTTTTAACTAAGCATTTGCCAGTCACTTCCGGCCTTTCCACCCATTAAATCCGACCCATCGTGACTTAACCTTTGTCTTTGCCTCAATTCCATGAAATATGCAAGCTGACATTGACCCTGGAACCTGGAATTCCTCGGCCGATTCCGATTCCCCGTGAACTTCTCAACTCTCGGGACGAACTTTAAAGTGTCAAACTGTTAGCATGCAACCGAGCAAGTGCGGGAAAAAGGCAAAAGAGCAAAATACCCGGGTTGAATCAAACTATTCAGGGCCGGACAACAGGGCGTATACATAATTTAAGAGGCACTGGGCTAACACGGAAAGAAAAACAAGACAACATTAGCTGCCGGTTTGCAAACAAAACTTTTTAATAGTTTTAATATAAGTTTCACATATTTCTCGGGGGGCCAATTTGAACAAACAAGTATTCTTAATCGGGCTTCAGTTTTATGAGCCATAAGGAAGGTTAGTTTTAAGGATGCTTTAAAAGGAAAATATATTTAAGTAAAATAAAATATTTATGCTGATGCCTATTACAATCTTTTTGATTATTATTTTATCTTTGCAAACATATGTTTTAAATGAATCAGGTGTAAACATGATGTAATGCAATCTAGTCAGTAATTTGTATAGTTCAGCAATGAGTATCGATAACACGATAAATATCTCTATGAAGCGCAGCCAACTTCACTCGTTGAAAAAGAAGAAGAAGAACGACAAGCAAAGTTAATTAAAATATTAAATCCATTAAAATGAAGCCAATAACTTACAATTCATTTTGTTTGAAAAATATCGAAATTATCGATAATATCGATACGAATATTTATTTATTTTTGAGTCGCAAGAGATGATACGTAGTATTACTATAAAAACCCAGCCATTTTGGCCAATTTTCTCGCCGTGTCCCCTGGGAAAAGGATAGGGCTAAGGATAAGGATAAGGACGAGGACGAGGTGCTGAGGAAGCCAAGGGACTTTGCTGCCGTTTGACAGCCGCAAGTGTTTGGCTGACTCCAACGCGACACTTGAGCCGAGCCTCGGTTTTGAGTGGCGGACAAAGCAAAGTGGTCCGTTCCGTTCCGTTTAGATTCGATCCGGAACAAAAAAAAAACAAAGGGCGCGAGGCTAAAACAGGAGCAAACTCAAGTGGTTGCTGGTCCCTTTTCGAAGGACCTACAATCTGGGCCAGATTTGTGATCTCAGATCTCAAATCTCAAAGCCCCTTTCTCATTTTCTCTCTGTTTTAAGCCAGTGAGAATCGGGAATCCGCTCTAATTACAATCTGGCCACAATTGAGGATTGCGTTGCAGCCATTGAATCCATAGAATCGAAATCCCTTTTTAGATTTGCCTAATCGCCAGTCGCGTGCTCTGCGGTGTGAAGATTACCGAGGATCTGCGCGGATATATGCTCTATTGCTCTATGGTATATGTACATCTATGTGTGTGTAGGGATCAAGTGGCCAGATTAGAGATTCCTTGCACGGGAGGGAAGGAAAGGGAAGGGGGAGGTGGAGAGTGGGCGGTGGGCGGGGGTTAAATCCTTGTAAATCCATCGGCGGGATTAGGACATCTTGCGGTTTTAATGCCAGCCAGCCAGCAGCTAGCTAGCCAAAAACAGCCAACAGCTGTGGCCATCTAAGCCACATTTAAGCCATTTAGAGACGCTGATGAATTTATGGAACGTCCTACTGGGTGAGACTGTCACATTCAGAGCCGCTCTTTTTGGTTGCCCAGAGATACCCTATATGGCGGGATACTTTTAGTTTACTGCTGCATGAGTTCCAAGGTCCTAATTCATATAAAGATAATAATACAGCCCAATTATATCCCAAAAATCATGAATTACGGTATTTTAAATTAATCCCCTTATTGAGATTTGAAAATTTCTTTTATTCTCAGGTTCTTATTATTAATATCATAATAATATTTAAACTTAATCCTATTATTAAGATTTGTAGAACTATTGATATTTTTTTTGGTCCTTGAGATTTGGGAACCTTTTTCTTGAGTGCCTAAGACTATGCAATGGAAAATTGAAAATGTGGTTTAATTCATTGCCTACATTTAAGCGCCAAAAAAAATTTTAAAAAGGATCTGTGCGCAATCTCAAAGATAAACACCTAATAAACCACCAAAGGGTATGTAAAAATTCGATCAACGAAACAAAGCTTTTCTTTTTTATTGATTTTCCCCATATATGCGTGTGTGTGCTGGTTTTTGTGGCAAAGAAAATCAAGGGGAGGATTGGAGAACAGGAGCAGGGAATTTGATGCGTGCCAGCATCCAAACTCCAGTGGAGAATCAGGGGATTGAGATGGGAATGGGGGGGGAATGGACATCGTTCACTGATGGATAGTTCCCTTGATTGGAGCTGGCAGCAGGGTTGCCACCCATCGAAATTGAAAACCCAGTAAAGTAAACAGAAACAAACATTTTTCGTTTTCGTTTGCCTTTTATTTTGGTGGTTAAACAAACTCAATTATGAAAAGTAAAAGCGAAATGTTGGTTTGAAATAATGAAGAAGGCAAGGAAGATACCCATTAAACTATTGAGGAAATACTGGAAAATTTAAAAATCGAAAGATGAGATTAAATATAAATATTTTATGGATTTTCTAAAAGTTTTTTAGAGTATTAAAATAATAGGTACTTGTGATATTATCCATTATCAAATATGTTGCTTTTATTAAATATCTATCTAAACTACAGGGTATTCCAAGTCTTAATAACCGAGAGAAGGAGCAATTTCCCAAGCATCCCATGGTTTGGGGTGGAAATTGTAAACAAAAGACTGTCAAAACATTCCCTTTCTCCCATTTCTCAAGTGTGGAGTGTGTCAAAATCACATTAGATGCGGTTAACTTTAGTCGGTGGCTGTGATTTTGCCTTATTTTTTTTTTTGGTCAATTTGTTTGTTTGCCCGCAAATTGATTGATTGCTATTGATGCCTGATTTGTCCTTAACCCTCGCACAAACACACACACACACACAGTGTCCTTGCCCTTATCCTTTTGACTCTATATCTATAAAGTTGGTTTTTATCTTATATCTCCCTTCCGCGTTTCGCTCTGCCGAGATTTGTGGTCATCCCAAATGGTTTTCCGTTCCGTTTTCTGTGGCCCACTAAATTACAGAAGACAAAGTTAACCGGAGTGTGTGGGTGATTGAGTATCTAAGTGTTATTAACTTTGGCTTACACCTCTTGGCCTGTGTAAACTTTGTAATCCACTCAGGGTTTTGCAGGGGCGATCGAGAAAGATGGATTTTGTGGTCTGCTAGGAAGCTTGCTGATAAAATAGTTGGAGATACTCTATGTTAAATCTGTTGTTTTAAATTATTAATATTTCTATTAAAGTTTAAAAGTAAAATGTTTATTATATTTGTTTAGTCAAGATTTATGATAGAAGACCCAATAAATTGTACTCTCTGTTGCCCAAAGAAACTTTATATAAAATACTAAAGGGGTTGCAGTGAATTGTTAATAACTTTCAAATTATAAATATTTAATTTAAAATATTTACAGCTTTAATTTCATGATATTTAAACTTTTAGATGGTAGAAAAAAAGTTTATTATATTTGTTTAGGCAAGATTTATGATAAAAGTCCCAATAAGTTGTACACCCTTTTGCCCAAAAAAATTTCAACTTTGATTCACGGTATTTTATCTCAATTCCGGACTGGCAAACTTTGGTCAAATTCGCTTTGTCAGCTTGGGGACCCTGCCTTTATTGGCATTTTCTATTCCGCCCAACCCTTTTTATCCTCGGGGAACTCGAATTCGCATTCGCATTCGAGTGACACCTCTACGCGTGACACAAGGGAAAATATTTACAGGACAAAACGCCTTTGTCCTTCGGAATGTGCAGTGTGCCAAAGGCAAAGGGTTTATTTGCATAGGGGGATCGGGAATGGGAATTCAAATAGAAGGTAAAAGGGTTAGGGAAATATTCCCAGATGCATTTTTTATACCCCTGAAAGGGTTAAATAAAAAACGATTTTTACGCCATTTGCCATTTTTGTTCATTTTTTCCATTTACAGATTTTCTACTTTTTCTCTTTTTATGATATGATATGCAGACGTGTTGGTCAGGTCGTAAAAGCCTTTTGCAAAATGCCGCCAGGTAGGAATTGAATTGCGTGAGCCGTGGAAAATCCAAATGGGCACCCGGAGATATATCGTTTTAATTGAAAAATATAAATTCAATTTGTCACTGGCCTTTGACATTGACACTGAAAACCAAAAACACACTGCGAATCAATAAAATATTTAAAAATATGAGTGAAAATAATTAATTGCCAGCCGCAAAATGTGCAATTAAACGAACTGTGGCGGCAGTTATTCAAATATGCAAAAATATGTATATTTTAATGGGCAAAAAATACGAATGTATCTCTTTGCCCTTTTTATTTGCCACTTAACAAATGACTGCAATTAAATGGAATTTATGTCCAAGTGTAGGGTACCTTTGCTCTCATTGGAATTTCTGTGTAAGAGGTGAATCCTGAACTCCAAAAGCCAACAGCCGCAAATATCTGTCCACCTGACCCCCATGGATTTTCATTCTAACTGCAGCTGACAATGAAATGCTCTCTGGGAAATGATTTTACTAGTTTAACCTCAACACAGAGATGCTCTTTTGAAATAAATAATATTAATTACTATCTTAAATTTTATGTTTTAAACAAAATAGTCAGCTTAAATATTTAATTTAGAGATAAATGCACTACAATAATCTCAAGTAGTTAGTATCACTTTGAAAATACTTCAAAATAAATCAAATATACATTTACAAATATTTAAACTGATAAAAAAAATCCTGTAAATATTTTTGCAGATTCTTTATAATTATTTCGGTGAACTTCAAAAAACCTTATCGTTAAATGAATTTATTAGAGCAATGGCTAGCCAAAAAACCCTTTTATTTTACTACTGCCTGGAGTTTTTCAAATGCATTTTTAGCTTTCGTTCCTCTGAATAAAGGAAAAACGGGAAATGGACACTACTGCAGAGGACCGCAACCCCCATTTCCCCCCACATTGACCTTCGTCCTTTTGGCCTCGTATTTTCCATTTTCGCATTTTCCAGAGGAGACCGGCGAACATGAGAAGGTATTTTGTGTTTCGATTTTAATACAATTAGAGGATGCATCGAAAGCTGCAAATAAGTGGAAGCTGAGCGGGAATTCAGGGCCATTTGGGGGTTTCCACAACGAACCTAATTAATGGGAAACACGAGTTCTTTGGGTTTACGGAACGGGTTTTTATGCAGAGAGAAAAAAAATGAAAGGATTTTACTACCAAATAAATAAGAACAAAATAATCATTTTATATTAAGTCTTTAAATAATTCTAAAATATGTTTTTCTACTTTCAGGATATTTCAAATTAACATTTTAATTTAATTGCATTTTTTTTCTCTCTCTGCATTTATGCATTTTAATTGGGCTCAATTATTTTCTCCGGCAGTGCCCACTGTACATCCATATGTCTACTTATAATAATGGCAAAGCAGCTTATGTCCTCACCCACGCAATTACTTATACACTCGCAGGCACACACACACATACACACTTACACACACAAAGACAAGGACCGAGGGGAGAATTGATGAAGGCTCCACTGACATGCAAAGGCTGATTGACACACAAAGCGAGCAGAATGCCAGGATGCTTAACCATGGACCTCGAACTACGAAGCTCGACCATCCAATCACCTATTCTCCCGCCCACCAGAGCGCCACGCCCCCATTCCCCCGCTACACGCGGAGAAATAGTGGTGAAATTCCTCAATATTCCCAAGCTAATATGCATAGTTTTCAGAGAAATTTCATATGCATTTTAACTCACTAAAATATGTTTAAAAATATTTAAAAAAATAAACTTTATTTATCGCTTTTACTAAAAATATTTTATTTATTTATCTTTATACATCTTAGTGTTAAGAAATATCATAAAACTGTGCGACCTTTATTCAATTGAAATATATCAATTGAATAAAGGTCGCACAGTTTTCAACTTCATGTCTACATTATTTAATGGTAAAATAAATATTTTTCAATATACCACTTAAATGGCTCTTTATTTTTCTCTACCAATATTGTAAAAATACTCTTTAATTTATTTCTTTTAATACATCTAAGAAAATGCTTTATTTACGCTGTTTTTTCTCACTGCCTTTTGCTTCGCTTATGGCTGCGGTGCAATTCATTAAGAATTTCTCCCTGCGATGACAGCCAAGTCTTGAGTGGCTGTACCATCGCCCCCTTTCGGGGGGTTCTAGCCCCTTCGAACTGCAGTCTTACAGCCGGCAATTATGCCTTGAGGATGTTGGATATCCTGGCCAGAGAGCAGCAGGCGACAGCAAATGACAGGCCATTAAATGGCTGCTGCTGCTGGCCATCCTCCATCCTTCTTTTTGTCCTTACCCTTAAGCCAAAACCCCCTTGCACGTGCAAGGGATGCAGGGGGTAATAAAATAAAGAAATCGCGACTCTTGCAAAACCCCGAAATCGCGACCAAATGTTGCCTCATAAAACTATGCAAAACAAGGGGATTATGGTCAGGGTTAGGGGTCAGGATTTTATGAAGGTCGAGGGTAGGCGAAGGTAGCGAATAAGACCTGATCCCTATTAGGGACGCCAGGTACCTGTACCTAACTTACATTGCCCGACTTTTGGGTATATATGCCCGACGCCCAGTGGCAATCAGCATCAGTTGTCCAACAGCAGTTACATCGTTAACATCGAACGATATAAATACAGTGTGACCATCACAGCATACGAGTAATACCAAGAGTGACCATCTTATTCAAACTTTGCAAAAAAACTTAAGATCTTGAAAAATGGGCAGCACTCAGTCCGCTGAAAAGGTGAAGAGCGTCGAGGACTCGACCAGCCAGGGAAATCCCGGCATTTTCTGCACACCTCTCCCCGGTTTCATAAGCAAAATCCAAAGAATTCTCGTCCGCAAGCTGAGCATTTCGGCCAGGAAACAAAAGCGACTGAGCAGGCGGTCCAAGCAAACCCTTCGTCCCATGCCCCGCTGCTCATCCTTTGGCTCCAGCGGCACTCTGCTGACGACGCCCGGCAAGAAATCGGTTTCCACTCTGGCCGATCGTCGCTATGCCCAATGGAAGTGCAGCTTCGAGCATTTGGCCCAGAAGCAGCAGCGACTCCACGACATCAGCGAGGCCTTCACGGTGCAAACTACTCCGCGGGGCTTCCCCTCGCACACGGATCCCAAGAGGTGTCTGCTCCAGGAGGAGTCGCCCATTCCGGAATCCCCGCTCTTCGACATGGTCGGTGGCCAGAAGATCCGTCGCCGTTTGAGTCTGCGCAACCACGCCACCACTCTGAAACGCTCGTCGGCCCGCCAGAAGGCCGAACAGGCCAAGATCGACGAACAGTTCCAGCGGGATCTCCGCGATCTGGAGGAGTACTACGGCGGCTTCCACTTCGCCCAGTGCCGCGAGCGATTGGTCAAGATCTAGGATAACCAGTTCGAAAATATAACCTACATTTAAGACATTTCCCATTGTATAGCAAATATTGTGATAGCTCGTAAGCCTAAAGTCCTGAATAAAATTCGAAATGAAAATCAAACCGAAAAATGTATTTATTCCAAATTCCTCATTTTCTCTTTTAGTTTTTTGGCCGTAACAATGGAAATAATGATTCAAATATGGCGTGTCATACCTCGTTGAGCTCGTTTTTAAATTCCCAATCGATTGGCATTTAAACCTGAAAATTTTTAATTTTTGCCATTTTTCCCTTACAAAAAAAGCAAAAATTGGGTCAAAATTTAATTTTCACAAATCAGTCGGGAAGTGCACTGATATTAATTATAAGGTCATAGGCTGCACAAAACAGTGCGCCTTTTTGATTTGGGACCATTTTTGACCAAGTTACAGCCAAAAATCCATAATAAAAAATCCAATTTTTACCAAAAATCAAGGTCTTAATTTTTCACCCAAAAAAAAGTAGTATTTACTGTTAGTGTTTTGGTCATAAAAACTGAAATAATGATCCAAATATGGTGTGTCGTACCTTGTTGAACTCGTTATTAAATTCCCAATCGATTGGCATTTAAACCTGAAAATTTGTAATTTTTGCCATTTTTCGAAAAAATAATGATGTACCCCTTATAAAAAAAGCGAAAATTGATCAAAAAATAAATTTCCCCGAAAGTGATAGGGATCGTTAGCTTAGGTTGTTAGCTGCTCAAAACAGTCATTCTTTTGTCTGTGCATCTTTGATTGGCCAAATTATGATCGAAAAACCGCTTAAAATAGTTAACTTTGGTCAAAATTCCTAACAAGTTTACTTGATTAAGTATTTTATTTTGCTCTGATTTCGTGAAACCTTCATAAAATACCCAAAGCTTTTATGTAAATTTTCTCCTTTAAACGGAACCCAAAAAACCCATCCATTAAGTGCAGCAATTGCCACGAATTAATAATTCACCAGCGAAAGGCCAACAGGTGAAATCTCGTAAAGTGCAATTTGAATGGCAATCGTGCTTCGATTGCCACCGCAAATTTAGCAGTTTTCTCACTTTTCTTTTTGCCAATTAGAGGCGGCATAATTTTCAACGCCTCTCGTCTGCAGTCAACTATTTTTAGCGAATCAAATTATTGAACGCGATGGAAATCATAATGCGAAGTCCGGCACTCTCGATCCGAATCAAAATCGGGGGCAGGGTCAGGCGGGGGGGCATGGCAACGAGAGGCGAGGCAATTAATCAGCTGCCAACTAATACATAACAAAAGCCCCAAAAAAGCAACCGAAAAAAAGCAAAAAAGAGTGCAACAAAAACAGACAAAAGGCAGACAGAAATGAAAAATTTGCAAGTACTTGGGGAAAAAAGGGGGGCGGGAAAATTGTAAGGGGGGGGGGCGAGAAAAACGCTGGTGCCAAGGGAAGCTCTTCGAGGCCTTGTCCGATTTTTCTAGCTTATTTGCTTTCTTTGTTCCACAGAGAAAATACAAATTGTGGTATTAAAAATAAATCATTTTTTATTTTAAAAATAAGAAATTAAAATTAAATACTTATGCTAATTTTTAAAGATCATTATTAATATCTATATTATAAGATATATTTTTAAAATGTCTACATTTTCTTTCGGTGTATTTATGTAGGATATTTTTGCATACCCAACCGTCACAAATAATTATTTTTTGGCAGCTCACTTTCATCTTCAGCCAGCCAATTTGCCACGCTGCAGATTGTCGGCGAATGAATAATGATTCCGCTCTCGAGTCCAAATTTCCGAATAATGCACTTTACCACAATCACACTCTTTCAGAAATTAATATCGCTGGAAGATTGGACCACATAATAATGCCCCCTGAAAAATGCAAATGTCCCTATGAAATATTTGTGGCGCTGTCGCCGCCAAGTTGAACGAACTGACAAACCAAAAAAAAAATAACAGAGAATTCAGAGGAAAATTGAAATGGATGGGTGCGAAATGGGGGCGAAAGTCGAGGGCCTGACCGACATAAAACGAAATTCCGAACAATCCAAATATTAATGCTCCAATTTGGCCAACGCTCTCTGACTTTCTGGCCAAAATGCTGGCAAAGAGTTGGTCTTAAGTAATGCGAGTATTTCAGAAATACAACAGGAAATTTTAGGAAATATTTCAGCAATATTTTTTAAGCGAGTAGAATATTTATAAGATTTAATGCAGCAATTATTAAATTTTAAAATACAAATATATTAATTAATTGCAGAAAATATTCAATTACCCCAAAAAGATAAAAATATATATAAATACTTATATGATACGAAGATTTTTTTAAACTAATTGAATATTAATAGAATATTGAAAAGCTATAAATGAATACTTGAATAACCCGAAAAGAGTGTCATTTTATTTAAATGTGGTCCGTTGGTCCTTTCATGTTCTTTCCCAAACCCAAGCTCAATCCCCCCTTGAACTCTGACCCCTGATTCCTAACACACACACACAACCCTAAAGCAAGGCCTCAATTATCCCTCATTGATCGGATGGCAACACTTTGGCCATTAGCTTATGGTCTATATACATATATGTATAACTAAATCGATACAAGAAACCAAGTGAACTAAACCAAAGCAAAGCAATATCAATATCGAAAGGCGAGACCAAAAATCAGAGCCAGAAACTAATGTCACGTGCAGACAAAACCAAATCAACAAATGAAAACTAATAGGCAATTATAGGCAAATGTTGGTGGCTTTAACTGAGGAGGTGGGTGGTAGTCAAGGTCGCGGTCATAGAACGCGTGAAATATGCGGTTGAGCAATATGTCAAAGAGGAATACGGAATTGGAAATTCCCTTAGAATATTCATTTATTTAAAGGGTGTTTCTAAAATATTTTACCTTAATTAATTAGATTTTTAAATTACCCAAAATATACAGAGTAACTTCTCTTACATTTATCTTGGTAAAATTTAAAGGGATTTCATTTAGATATATTACCTAAATTGGGATTTTTTAAACTACCCAAAAAACACATATGAAAAATATACACAATATCTGTTCCCTAATGAAAAACACTTTATCTTTTCGATTTAAAATTCTGCACATTTGCTATTCCGCTCACTCGTCTACTAATGATTATATTGCCAGTCAATTCTCCTTTGCCACCATTTTCATTTGACTCCTGTTTTTTTTTTTTTTGTAGAAACCACAGGGAAATTTTCACGCCACTTGAGGGCGCCCTTTCCTTTTCTAGGAAATTTGATTTTACGCTATTTATTTAAATTTATTTATACTTTATCTGCAATTTGGTCGTTGGCAACATGGGCGAACGACGAGCAATCTCCGCGTCATCCTCGACTCATCCTGTCGAATGGTTATACTTCCTTTTCCAGGGGGGGATTGTTTGGGGGGTGGGGGTCTTTGAGCCTTGTGCATACATTACCTACCCACCCACCCATCCACCCAGCAACCTTTGACGCCGCTTTCTTTTCCCTGCTTTCCTGTTCCTTTCCCTTCTTTTCTCTCCTCTCATTTCGCATCCCGTTGACGTTGACGCTGATTGTGTGCAAATGATAGCAATATGGCAACAATCTTTATATCACACCATCCCCCATCCACCATCCATCCCACTTTTCTGGCCAGAGTTGTCGCTGCGCTTGTTTGTTATTGTTATCATTATCATGCTTCGCTGATGACGATGACAATCATGACGACTATGTTGATGATGATGATGATGGCCTTCTCCTTTATATAGGGTATATTATAGGGATAAACATGACTTGGTTAGTTGCCTAATTGAAAGGAAGATGTTGAAATGAGATTGAGATTGAGATGTTGCGAAATGGGAAAATTCCAGGAAAAGTTTCTTTGAAAACTCTATTGGACAATAGCAACTGGGATTGAAGGAAAATAATATTTTACAATACATTTTTGTTTAATTTTTAATAAATGTTAATAGTAAATAAATTATAAATTATTTCTCATAATAATTCGTTTCCCAAGAAACGTGTAATAAATTTCAGGCTGGCAAAGAAAATTTTAAATGTAAGTAAAGGAGGGAAAAATGCCCTTTTCTTCGCCATGCGAAGATGGTACAGTGCAGTACATACATATGATATATATGGTGGCTCTGTTGTTCATTTGCATATGCGTGACTGTTCGGTTGGGTGTCTGTTGGTCTGTTGCTTTCCAACATGGACGACAAGTTCATCGTGTTATAAATTATTACAAGCTTTCGCAGACAAAACGAATTTCATTTGATGTCGCCTGTGCTCAGGCGAAATATATATGTATATATGTTGGCTGTATGATGATGATAATACTAATGATAATGACAATGATATGGTAATAATATGGATGCTGTGTCGTCATCAGTGTCCTGTATTTTGTGTTCCGATTCCAATTCCTGTTTCTGTCTCAGTTTCATCTTCATTTGGGGCATTTAATTAAATTTTAATGACACTGCACACTACTAAATCATGGCCACAAATCCCCCCAGAAGGATATACGCGCGAAATTTCAGAGATAATAAAAAGCGAGTGCTGTTTGCAGGATCAACATGGTCCATGGTCCAACTAAGCCCCCCGAGCGATGTCCTTGCCGGGTGTCCTTGGCCAAAAAAGCCCACTTAAGGCACACGCGGCGTATACGCAATTAGTTGAGTTTAATTTATGTCGCCTGCCTTCCAGCTTCTTCTCCGCTTCGCCAAAATGACAAAAGGGATAAAAAATATATGTATATACAAAATTAGGAAACAGGGAAACAGGACTCGGGGCTCAGGACCCGGCATCAAGGGCTTTTGTCGGGGCTTTTGGTCTAAGCCAAAACGCGTAAGTGGCAATTAAAAAGCCGAGCAAAAGACTGCCAAACGGGAAAATTAAGCAAGAAACGGAGAAAAAAACCGAGGGAAAAAGTCAATGAAAAAATTGAGTTCCAAGAGGGTTTTGGTTTGGGTTTTTCCTGCCCGTTTGCGGCTTGATTTATGCCCGCTTCACTTTCACTTAATTTCCCCTTAATTTCCG